TCAACAGGTGGAATTCTTTTTTTTTTTTTTTTTTTTTTTTTTTTTTTTTTTTTTTTTTTTTTTTTTTTTTTTTTTTTTTTTTTTTGTGTTTATTTTATTCTGCAAGAGCTTAAAATGCACTTGCCTGTGATGTGGACATAGCCAAGTTTTGTGAATTTAGGTGCCCGATTCATCAAAAGAGTTTGTAAAACTGTATGAACAAGTTATTTTGCACATTCTTTGGCCAATTGAAACAAAAACTTAAATTCCTCTGAAATGAGACTCATGCCCCACACATCCTCTACACCCAAGGCAAACCAAAATATAAAACAAAATGGCCTAGAGATGCTAAATCAAACAACGAATAAAAGAGTTTTGGAAGTTGGTGGTGTTCTATTTGGGATGTCAGAGGGGAATGTTTTTTACTTTTCCAGACATTTTTTATTTTACTCATTTATTCCCTTCTTTGTAAGATGCACAGTTTGGCCACAGGGGAAGCTAACTGGGCACTGGGATGACCACACCTGTAGATTCCATCCTTCACCTCCTTCCAAGGAAAAGCTTTAGCTGGAAGATACAACCCAGTTGTAGTGCAGTAATCAAATGTATTGCTTTTGTACCTATGTCAGAATTGCAATTAGTGTTTATATTTCTTCAGTGGTATAGAATGAAGTGGATGCCCAGAACAGACACTGATCACTGATACAAAGTACTTATAGGCATCTTTTTACAGGTCTTTTACTTCATACTTCAAGGGCTAAGTGGAGGGGGGTGGGGGGGGTGGGGGGATCAGTGATAGCAATTGCTTTAGCAAAGGTTTAACTTTGTTAATTAAGCCACTTTTAATCAAGACAGGAAATGTAAACTAGTATCTGCAGTAAACTAGAAGGGTTTGTAATTACAAGGCAAACATAAGTGGGAGCTCCCTGTGTCTGTGCCATGGAACGGAAGTGAGGTAGGTTCATCTCTGATTACCATTTGGTTTATTAGTTGCCAGTATCTCTCAGTACATAGCCACTGTTTGTTCTAATGGCTCTTTCATACAGGCACACACAAGTGCAAGGGCCATGCATTAATGCAGGCTCAGTCCTACCTTGCCCCCTTTTTTTTTCTTGTGGGTTAAGTAGTGGTTGTGCAGAAGGATTTCATAAATGAATTTGTTTTTTATATGTAGAACTTAATTTTATTGGAACGGGATCTCTCTTTCTTTAATTTGGTTGCTACCTCCCTGGTCAAGTTTCTCAGAAACCTTTTAAAGCAATGATAAGAATATAGTGTGAATAAATATACTGGATATCTTCTCCTTCAAGAGGTTGGGTTCCCTGATCCAGAAGTGTATTCAAGCCTGAAAAATCATTGCTCTGAAATCAAGAAATTATGTTGTATGCTTAGAAGTTAAGCAAATTCTCAAGGGCTCTGCTGTATAGGGGCCGGAGTAACGCAGTGGTGTTGCAGGCAAGTGCTTCTAATATGGTACAGAGCTGGTTAAGGTCGATTGCTAACCCCAATAGTCTTTGGATTGCATTCTGCATGGGTGCACTTGGAAAAGATGAGATTTTTGCAGTTGGACCCATATGGGCAGACATATGCTCCATCAAAGTCCTGTTGGCTTCAGTAACATCCCTGTGCCTGTTTGCATGGAGCTGAGGGCTGTAGTCTGCAGCTTGCTGTGTCCTTATGTTACAGGCAAACAAACAAACTCACGGCTTTTTGCTCTGTGATTTGGTACCTTTTGGTGTATGCAGAAGCTGTGGGGAGGAAGAGTGCCATCAGGCAGTGGGTGTGTCTTTGTTGCAGGCAGTATTTACAGTTGATGTTGTGTTTATGAAAACTCTTCCTAAGGTGAGACACAAAAACAAAACTCAGCTTGTGGAGGTGAAAAAGCAGGGTTTGTTGGCGACATGGTGCTAGCAGTCGCTTACACCAGTCTGCCCACAGTAAAATGGAACATGGTGCAGTGAACAGTATCACCAGAACACTGCAATTTTCTTCCAATAGAGAGGATGTGGGCAGGACAGGAACCTGTACCTGGAGTTGTGTGGAAAAAAACAGCCCAGCAGAGGCAGCCAGAGCCCAGGGACCATCCATCTCCTCAACCCTGCTGGTGAGCAGCAGCTTGCCCAAGCAGTCTCTGCTCGGAGTAGGGGTCTAAACACTCAGCACACATATTTTGGTGTACTGCCAGAAGAGTATTGTGTGGTTCTTCTCCATTTCTCTGGAGAAATTATTTCCCTTGGGTGCTTATTTTCCTACCTGCAGTTGTCTTTTCTCTTCAGGAATGCATCGTCTTCATTGTAATGACTGCAGCTATTCCTTGAAGTTTCTTTGAAGTATCTGGCTTGGAGGTTCACTCTGAGCTTGTGCTTGTAGATATTTCATCAGTATCAAGAGCTGATGCCAAGATAACAAGCTGATATCAAGAGCAAGAGTTACAGATTAATCAATACACAGGGATTAACAATTTATTTTACTCCGACTTGCCGTTATTTATTAGGGGTCAATCGAGAAAATCAAACCAGAAGAAATGAATCTGCTGAAATTCAGTGAATCTGAACCTGTGGTTTGCAGCTGTCATGGAAAATCTGATCCTGCTAGTCTTGTATTTGTGCTTTTTTTAATCATACTGAATTTTGCTGTGGTGGTTAACTGTCCCGTTGCACAGTTCTTTAGGGATTTGCTAACAAAATCAATAGATATTTCATATAACAGTTATTCTACAGCCATGAACTGATTTGTGTAACACAATGCAAACATAGACACAGATACATATTGCAGCTGCTCTTCATCTGATGAGCATGTCATAGGCTAAAGGATTCTGTAAACACTAATGGGTTCTCACACTGGTGTTTTAGTTGTACATTAGCTATTCAAAAACCTCCTAAAGAGGAATTGCAGCAGACACTCATCAATGCAACTGTCTGTGTCTACAGTAAGGGCTACTACCAGATTTACATCTGTTTTGGTTTTAAGACATAAATCTCCCTTAATAGCATCCTATATTTTCTCCAAAATTATCTATTTGCCTGCCCATGGGTCTCAATTGACTCTCCTTAAGGTTGTTGGGATTGGTGGGCAGGGGCTGAGAGCAGGATTATTCCTGGATGATCCTTAGCACTATTTTGGACCTCTCTGCTGTTGTGAGAACTGTGCACCAGCTTGGAATACATGCTTCCAGTGGTTTAGCTCTGTCGGGATGAGAAGGCTTCACCCTTCTCAGAATAATGTAGTATTCTCCCAGGTCCT